AAAAAGGCGCCAATGAGAAAAATAAAATTTAGGCAAAAACCACGTTGATTATGTCGACGCCAAAAAAGAAGTGAAGATGTAATTATAAGGAACCCGCTGTCGGATTCAGGGACAAATGTTGCATTTGGCGCCCAATTTTTATCCAATTTGGTTCAGCGCGGAGCAAGCACCAGATTTTCTAATGTATCATTCGACAACAGTGATAACAAATGAAAACGATGTGACAATGTAGAACCAATGAAAGTAAAACTCTATTTCTTCTTTTGTTCTTGTTCTCTGATTTATTTTGTTTAATTATGTTACTCTTGTCTGTAGAAAGTAGTAGAGATAAGAATAGAATTGAACGTCTGATCTGAATGTGTTCTTAAAGTTCGTAAATAAGGACATGACTGATTTAAGTGATAAGAGAACTACAATAGATTGAGTAACATAGATTCAGTTTATCCTCATAGCCTTCTCTGGAACTACTGTAGACTACAGTAGAGTAGTACTACGATGGTAAAGGATTCAGCTGTTCATATTTAAACTAAGTAGAGTAGAAAGACAGAAAGAAAATGTGCTACAAACGTTTCCCTTTTAAACTATTAACACTAAGTGATAGAAACTTACAAAACTTGACTGAAAGTAACCTGTCTTCTGTCATAAACACATATATAAAACGTAGCTGAAGAATCGTCCAGGAGTGTTCAGTGTATGTAAAAACGTCATTTTGACAACGTTAAATGTTAACTTTCTTTAACGTTAACGTTAAAAGTGACCAAGGTTAAACGTTAAACGAAAATTAACATTGATTAACGTTAAAGCTGACAGCCCTACTCACAGGCACTCGTGGGTTGCTTTTGCAACTGCCTATCAAAGTACTTGGACAAGTATTCGTATCACGTTCATCCACTAGAGTCTTTTCTGTTCAAATGTACCATTAAAACAATTTTAACCCTTGTACTCCCAAGCGTATTTTACACACAACAAATAAAATGCATTCATAAAATGTATTTCATACTTCGATCTATGCAAAAATAAAAATTTCATCTCATTTTCCTATTTTTTGAGAACAGGGTGTAAGTAGACCCTGGTTGGTAGTAAATCAGTTTTATTCCGAAGGAAATTAATCTTTTTAAAGTTATAGTTGAAAATTACTGTACAAACTCATTTGTGAACTACTATAACCACCTCTACAACGGTTTCGTTTATAGTTTGAACTGTGTTCCTCAACCTAACTGGAAAATTGTAATGGTATTCTGAGTACTTCTTGGTATTTAACTTTTAGGCATTAACATTCACGGGAGTCCATGCGTTGGAATTCGAGGAGCATATCCATGCGTGTCCTCGCATGGGTTCTCATGTATAACCATGCATTGAAACGCATGCAGGTCCATAAACACTCATGATAAATGTCCACGTTAGAGTCCAAAATAAATTGATGGACTCCCATGCACTGCCGGGACCTCGGAAAGGGGAAATTTTTCAGATGTGAAAATTGGATGAAAACAGAACGTTGTGGTAAATCGACTCGGAAAGTCCGGGACAACGTTCTATTTCAGAGAATTCCATCTTCAACACTATTTGTCCAACTTATGATAAACAGCATTTTTCATCTTCGATGCATCATTTGTTTTGAATGTATTGATTTTGATATGATGAAAAATGCAGTCCTGCCGGCTGACCAGATGATGCTGCGAAAACAGGAAGTATGTTGGAATAGCAATCTGCATCAGTAATTCATTATTCTGGTTTATTTCAATAAAAAACATATACGTACAAAGAAAGCGACAACAATCAGCTATTTAAAAGAGTGTATTTACATGTAAATACAAGTAATGCCTAGGAAAACGAGGATAAGGCATTGTTCGTTAGTAAAGACTACACATTTTTCCTTGAATTGTTTCCTATGTGTTAATGTGGGATTTTGAAAAAGCAGGAAAAGGACTAGACAAACAACGCAGTGAAAGTGTGCGTTATAGGGTTTTGTAAACCCCTCCCAGAATAGAAGGCATTGGCCTTCTGTGATGATTTCGCACATCGCACTCTTTTGGTGAAAAACTGCCTTGCCCACGTTTTTCAAAAAGTTTAGCTCCAGAGTGGCCTTCTAAATGAGGTAGCCTTCTGCTCTGGGTGGGGGAGGGCTAGTGCAGAAAATTTTCTATCTTATGAAGTCAGAACGAAGTCTCGGAACCATACGGGATATAGATAAAAATAGATACATTAATAACCCCATAAGTTCGGGATCATCCGTTCTTAGTGGCAAAGTGTAAGTAAAAATTTTATTTCTCATACGGATTAATTAAATGAAGACGAATTCTTTAGACAAAGTACCTGTAATGAATAGCTAACAGAAGTGTTATTAAATAATCAATTAGGTCAACTATAAAAATAATTATGACCTGTTTCTTCGGTCGCAGTTATGCTGTCACCTATCAGTACTCTGCATTATATTTAAAATAATGAAATAGTATGTAATGAAAGAAGGTAATGAATTTTGTAGAGCAAATAATACTTTATCGAATGCGTTTAGAACGTAATCTTCGAATGTCAGTTGTGCTCGAAAGAAAAGAGAACAAAAGTGCGTTATTATTTCTGGACCACCCGTTATTTTCTATTTCTCAGAAGAGAGAAAATCTGACAGAAAGAATTTTCATACTAAATAGATGCACAGATCGTCGATTTTTTATTACCTTATATTCAGAAATGTTTAATTATTTTGATACATGCGACTTTGACTTTAATCACATAAATACCCTGAACTATCGTCAGTCTCTTTGAAGATAAGAAAGAGAAAAAAGTTTTGTTGAGCGTCGAAGTCACTTCAGATGAACAACTATTTGGGGTAGAATATTTACTTCTTGGAAAACTGCTAGTTCGTCGTAGACAGCATCGTTTATTCCACTCGGTGGAGGCCGACAGTCAGCTGTATTTTCACCATCTGTAGGCGACACAAGTGCGTAATGACACTGGTATCGTTTATGGTTGCCTCGACCGTAAAAGCGAAATTTATTTGGCGATACATTGGGTAATGCGTCATCAGCAATAACAGGAAACGGGTTCAGTATGATAACGTAGCACAATATAAGACAACCATCGGTGCCCTCAATGTAGTGTGTCGCATATTTCGCACTGGATGTAAAATACATGGCTTTTCCGTACCAGCCATCATCCAGTCTGCCTAAGGCTGTGAATCCATCACGTAGCAAATCTTCTAATGTTGACGTCCGACATCCGTGCCACATTCGAACAATACGAGCTCTCCGGTTATGTGATACTTGCTGACATAACGTACTCAAGCGGTCCAAAACACGTTGTCGTTCCTCTGGATTAGACTCTGAGGAGAGATGCGCTTGGAATGCCGGTTTATCTTGACGCTTTTCAACAGATTCCATCTGAGCGAGAAAAAGACGATATCGAGCAGCATTACTGACAATCTCTATTTTCTCAATGGTTCGCCCTGATGGCAATGATCCAATCCATCCAGAAATACGTGCGTATAGTTCTGAATTAGTAGATATCTGGCACGACGACACTTTATCGTAACGATTTTCACTCAATTCATCGCGATGAACGGGCAGTGTGAAATCACCATCAAAGCCATCGTAGAAGGTTCTTTTTGATTCTATAGCGTCTGAGTTTTCCGCTGCCGTGTCTTGTTTAAGTTTACTTAGAGTTAATAAAATTTTTCGTCTATGAATTTTTACTGGGATACCTATTTCCTGTAGTCCTTCATCGTCAATCGCTTCAATAAGCGTACGACCGTCAATACCGTGCGATTGAAATTTACTGATATATTCTTCATAAGCTGTACCCAACGAACGTACCCATCTGCACACATCATCAATAGTCCAATATTTATAGTCGGCAATGTCTACGCCTAAGATATCAGAAAAATGCAATAGATATAGAATGTAATAAGTACGCTGTAAAACAGCAGCTCGTCTACTATCTATAAAAACTGAATTATCATAAACATTTATTACCCGCACATCTGTAACGCTAGCGACAGGGTCCGATTTCGTTAGTCAACAAAATGTAATGCTCATTCCGTTCTCATCCACTCCGCAGAACTCACAGTTTCTTCCAGTCACAAGGTCATCGTCGCATCCTAACTAAAACTCATCTGAGCTATAGAAAATAGTATGATGTGGATGAATAGACCCTTAATTATGGAATGAAATAATTGCATACTCGTCAAGGTTTGCTGAAACGAAGAAGTTGGTTGAGTTGTGGTTGTTTCCCCTGTAGCACTTGCTGAAGTCTAAAAGATAGCAGCCAGTTTATACATCTGCTCCCAAGCAAAAATCACCTAGGGGAAAAACCTACATACATTTCGCCTGTAATCGGGCGATGCACAACTAGTTGTCATCTAGATAACTGGTTGGAAAAGGAGCTTTTAACTAGATGTGTCTGTATGTGGAACCAGCAATAGTTAAATCGATACTTGCAACTGAGGAGGAACCTGGAAATTACCAGGCTTCAACTGTCGTTACCAAATAATTGCAATCGAGTTAAAATCTCAAGGGGGAAAAAGCTGATTTGAAGCTCTTTTCGATTTTGGCCGATTTTGAACGATTTAAATCGATTTTGGACCACCGAAATCGATTTCAATCGGTTCTAGTCCACTGCGATAGATTTAAGTCGATT